CGAAAATAGCGATTTTGTAACACCTAGTAGATCTAAACTGGGGATCAACCTCTCCTAGTTTTTTAATGGCTTAACAACGCTGTATCCAGATCTTGGGTTATTAGCAAAATTGAATTCCTTTTTCTTCCAAAGACTGTCCATACATAGCATAATAGTACCCCCCCCCCAAAAAAAAAAAGAAATGTGGTTGTACCGTTTCAAAATGCTGGCGCTTTCAACTGGAAAAAAGCAGAAGAAATTTAAAAATTAAAATGAAACTTGGCGGAATGTCAGGAGTTTCCCGTGCAACCCATACGCCACAGTGGCTAAACTGTTTCTCGATTTGTTTTTCTCGATTTTATCCTTTACCAGGTTTGTACTGAGGTAACCCGCCCGGCCGGCACCAACGGCGTAACAGACATGTTCCCCGTCTTGCCTTTCACTGAGCAAATGCGAGAGGAGTATTGCCTGAAGAAATGGAACGTGGTCCCCAAACCGACCTGGCTTAGTGTTCAGATGTTCGGAAACGGCAAGTGACGGATTTTGTTTCAAAGCAGGAAACTACATGTACAATGCTGGCAGAATGGGGGCATCACTATGGCTGAGTTCGGGCAGCTTGTTCTCGTTAGCTCACGAACAGCTCGATTTGTTTTTCGTGAGTGGGTCGGCCGCTCAGACGCTGGGAACGTTCGACCGGTTATTATCGCTAGTAATAGTACACGTAGTTTTTTATGGCAAGCAACATGCAACATGGCAGAGTCCTTGAGCACTCTTGGAGAGTTAATGTCGGATAACTGAGCTAACTTCTTTTCCAAAAAAATTCATTTCTGTCAGGGAAAATTGTTAATTTTGCAAAACTTTCCATTGTCTCCGGCCATATAAGCCATGTCGATACTTTTTGCAGCTGTTCAAAAATCAAATCTTACGAGTTTTTCCGTGTGTTCGTGTAAAATCCTGACGTACGAGGAGGTGGCGTGTGATCCTGTTCCGAGCGAGAACAGTGTGAGTCGTGTTCCGGCCGTTCGAGCGCGAGAAAAAGAAACCCGTGTCAAGAACAGACCGCCGGAACTCGACCTATGATGCTTAACAACCAATGTCATCAGTTCTGTGGATGTTGTCTATTTCTCGTAGGCCCATTTAGCCTACAGAATTTCAATTAAATAAACTCTCGATATAAATTAATATTACTATGATATCCTTTTCTCTATTTTGACGAACAGACTTAAGTAATACAAGCTCCAACATTTTCTTCTCCAATGGAGCAATTGACCCATGGCGAGGTGGTGGGGTGTTAAGGAACCCCAACCCCGACCGCTACAAAACGCTTCTTATACCCGGTGCTGCTCACCACCTTGATCTCAGGTAAACCAGTTTTAATGAGGTGATTATTTTATGGCCTTATTGTCGGACGAACGTTCATATTTTTAATGTACAGATAATTCATACTTGCAACTGGTCCCCTACCCCTCGAAAATTATTGTAAATATCGGCATTATATTACCACCTCTGTTAACAAACTGTAATTATTCATTGTCACGTGAAGACGTGTCATTAGTATTGTAGTCCAGTCTGTCACAAGCCATTCGGTCTTACGCCGATTCACAACTGTGAAAGAACTTGTGACTAGACTTGTGAAGGGACTTGGGAAGGACTCGATTGCAACACTGTGTTTAAGTAGATAAATAAATAATAAATACAAAAGATACGAGTTGGAAAGTGCAAAAGAGCCCCCTCCTGAATGCATAGTGGATAAAACTGATCACGTGCAAATCGACATTTAAAAATGTATGGCCTAAAACACTACCCCTATATACCCGAAAATGATTAGTCGCTTCAAGGTACTATTTTTTGAGTGAAAAACTCGATTCTGAACTTCCTATTCTGTTTGATCAATGTGTAGGGGTAAAAACAAGGACGACTCTGAGGCTGTGAAGAAAGCGCGAGAGCAGGAAGTGGCAGCCATCTCGCAGTGGATTCATTAATCGACAAACAGAAATATTGATGCTCGTTATAGGCCTAACTGCAAAACAGAGGTCTTTTTTAAATTTACTAAACGTAAAAATAGTCGTTGGGCAATTTAAACTTCCGTTCAGCCGTAAATACGCCTTGAAGAGGTAAAATTAATGTTACAATAAAATTTTCAGACCTTGGTAACTCCTTAGGGTTTCAAATATTCACGAATGACTTTCGTGCATCGGAAACCAGAAATCTGTGTGTTTATTTCCCTAAATACTGGTGTCGATTGAAACATGTCCTGAAGCAAATGAACTCGGGAATAAAATTGCCATTAAAAAATGTGCTTCAAGCTTTGCGTCTCATAGATAACGAAAACAAAATGTTTTGCAGATTCCGCTTAAGCTTGTTGGGCCGGGAATCAAAACTTATCTTTATATAAGTTTATGACTTCTTTCCGAAAATCGTGCGCCAGAGGCAAGGTTTCTAACAGAAAGCGAATAACAGATACAATTTCGGTGAAGTCCTCACTTGACTTTCATAATTTAATACTCTAGATCGAATGATTCCGATTCTTTCATAGATTTACACTTTTCGTGAGAGTAATAGGTTGAGATTCTTTAGCATCAACTTTTAAATCAGCATTCTTAAAGCTAATAAACAATTTGAATCCAAATACTTACTTTAACATTCACATCCTACTGTCGCCAAATGCCACAGAAACTTTTTTGGTTCTTTTGTTTTGACCTTTGTAAAATCTTTTCTCTCCAAAATACAAAAGCTTTACAATATACGCAAGGAAACCCATGCTGCAAGGGTTAGGTGCTGCTCCCTCGCATGAATACATAATTCCTAAATCGACCCCAGATCTGATCAACTCTCTGATAAGGCAGCGTTGAGGGCGCTGGAAATAATTCCTGCGTTTACGTTAGTCACCTGAGCTGAGATTAATCATGTAACTTCGCACTGTGACAAGATTTTTACCTTCGCCGCGTGTCCCAGTTCGTGCTATGCGATCGTGACTGAACTTAGGATTTCGTTGTACGTGTCATTGCAGCTTAATTTCAGTCATGTTTCGCAGTTTAGGAGCCGTCGTTTTTGTCTGGTTTGTACTTACGCTTTGGCTTAGTACATCTGGAGCCTCCTGTACGTACGATTACGAGACCAAGTACTATGACCAGATCATCGACCACTTTAACTTTGCAAGCCATGACAACAAAACATATAAACAGCGATACTTGGTATCAGGTGGGTATATGTCAATATGTTTGTGATAAATCAGAATGAGACTATGAGTGCAAAAGCATGGATAACAAAATCATGCCAACTTCTTTGGTGGACAAGATTCTCCACAGTTTTGGCGAGGCAAAACAGTGGCGTAGCTAGGATTTTACAGGTAGTGGGGGCACCAGCATCTTATGTGGGACCAAAGCCCCACTCGTAGTGTAAAACCACACCACTGAAACCTGGTGCCCCCTTGCCCCACACGTAAGGCTGTGGTGGCTCTCTTTTACAATCTGTCTATTATCTGTCACCCACCACCACTAGGCCTGATTGATTTCAGTTTGAAGACTAAGGCTGATGGCAAACTGTATGAAGAAATTGTAGAAGTTGTGACGAGGCACTTGATGCTCCTTTTGACACATTTAAATTGTTGAGGAGTGGTAGACATGTACCAGTCCTATACAGAGTGCTGAAAGTCCCAAATTTTTAGACTAGTTAAGAATACCTATCAACACTGCAAGCACAGAAGAAAATGCACCTTTCAAAATCAGACCAAATTATTTAGTCACTCTTTAACCCTCAAAGAGCCAGGCTTTTTTGGCCTTGTCACAGCAGGGGCTCAGATCTCTGCCATACGATGATGTACTTCAGTGAAATTTGGCAGTGTTATAGAGGCATCCATACTTATCATCTTTGTGAAATTTCATGTACATTAATTAAGTCTTTCCATAATTATGACTAATTAATTATTCATGGTAGGATACCACTCTGTCCTACGTATGGTGTACTGCTGTGTACAGAGTTATGGTAAATTTCACATCATGCTTCACCCTGCCTTCTTAAATTTGTCGCTGAGAGAGAACCCCATATCCAATTTTCATACATTTGGGGTCAAAATGAGGTTAAAACATTGGAAAAAAATTGTTATAAAGTATTTACACGCAGAAAAAAATCTTAGAGATGCTTTAAGAAAAAAACCCCTGAATCTTTGAGGGTTAACTCTCCCCAAATTTTCAAGCTTTACACAAGATAAACATTATTTCAGTTGTAACTTTGTGAGCAGTTCGCAGTTTAAGCTTTTATTCCAGAAGGCCTCTATTCAAAATGTTGCACCAGGGAAGTGGAGTACAGTGATTTCAACTGAAGGGTTAAATACAGAGTGGAAAATTGACTGACAAGAGCAGACATCTGTGGTGCAAAAGAAAAAGAATACATGAAACTTGTGTTGATCAGTGTTTCCATGATAGATAGTACTAACATTCCCCAACATTCGGTCAACAGACAAACACTGGAAGGTTGGGAAAGGACCCATTTTCTTCTACACCGGCAATGAAGGGCCGATTAACATGTTCTTGGAGAACACCGGCTTTATGTATGACATTGCACCGGAGTTCAGTGCCCTCCTCATTTTTGCTGAACATGTAAGTCTTAACAAAGCTGTTCAGAAACCGTGATGTTTGGAGTTCATAAACATTTCTGCAGAAGTCATGGGTTCAGATCGGCACCTTACCACATGTACTACATCGGACTCTGTTTGGTCAACTATGTACCTATCACCTCATTTGTAATGGCATCTTTGCCCTGTTGGAAGCATACAGCAGAGGGCTAGAGTTTCAGCTGAGAAAAAAATAGAATTTTCTTCCAGCAATTTGATGTTAACCAAAAGGAATCATTGCACAAGCGACCCCCACTAAAGCTTGCAGGAAGTCTCACTGCAAAAAGTGTATTGCACAAATGAAAGAAACAGTCCTAACAAGGTTTCAGCAGGGAGTTGCCACCAGGCAGATGAATGTGGGTATTTCTAATTAGCATGCTCAAGGCATGTTTATAAGACTTTTATGGAGTGGATCTGGTGATAAATAGGTTCTGTAACAGTGTTCTCCGTAAGGGATTTTCAAAATTTTAGGCTGCCCCGCTAAAGTTTTGCTGCCCTGCCAAAATTTCACAGCCCTATTTTTTTCTATTGGATTTTGCCCATTCTCCAGTGTCTTCACAGTTTATGTAGGTACAAAGAATTTTACTGCACTTTGTGGAACGAACATCATGAGTTTGCCAGCATCAATATTCAGCAAAACAGTATTGTACTCGCAGTAGCATTAATGATTCAACCCAGATGTAGTACTGAAGAACAGACTTCTGGACTGGTTTTAATTTCCCTAGTCGTATCATTTTAAATTTGTTGTGATTAGACACCAGTTAACCTAAATTACAATGTTCCAATAACACTTGGAGGCGTTTTTATTCCAGTCAAATTCATTTGTTTTCAGGAACATAACCCCCGTCCACTTGGTGACGAGTTTAGATTGATCAGTAAAAAAAACTAAATGCCCCAGAAAAAAACTCAACTTTTGATGACCAAATCCCCACTCCCAATAATGATCTTGCCTTCATTTCAAGTTGTTGACGCGAGCAAATTTGATTCAAGAAGTCAGAAGAAAGGCCCAGGAAATGCCTCAAGCCCTGAAGCGGGCTCCAGACCCCACGCTGTAAGGGCTTCGTGCTCCACACTCACATTGCTTGACGCCCTGCTACAATTTAAGGTCATGGAGAACATTGTGCACATAACAACAAAAATCACTGATTAATTTCAAATATTAGTTCTAAGCCCTTTGGCAGATATAGGGGGCTAATGGGTACCACTGCCCCCTCCCCTCTGTTCAATGACTGTGTTGTTTCTGAAAAACTAATGAAAGCTGATTTTCTGGGACTGCTTCATTTCCCTTGTGGTCTTGTGTCTTGCTCCAAACAGCATTTTTTTCTCAGCCTTCTGTTAATTAAAATGAGGTACCTTGCCTGCTTGTCTATGAGCCATATTTTCATTATAATAAGAAATACAATTTTTCTTCCAGCGATTTTATGGAGAGTCCTTACCGTTTGGTAATCAGTCCTTCACTCCAGAGAACTTGGGACTGCTGACCGTCGAGCAGGCCTTGGCAGACTATGCTGGCCTCATCGTGTACCTCAAGGAGAGCCTCAAGTGTCCTGCCTGTAGGGTTGTGACATTTGGGGGAAGGTAAAAAAAGATGTTAGATCTACAGATCTCTCTAAAATGATGTCACTTCCAACAGATTGCCAGCAGTTTTTACTTGCTGCCCTGTATTTCAAGCATGTTTGGATCACACTTGTACGAGTTAAGAACATTTTGCACACCGCGTGCACGCACACCTGTTGGCAACGTATACACGGTTGCAATTTTCCTGCAAAGATGGCGTCCAATGAGAGAGATCTATAGATTGTCTTTTTTTCTTGGCCGAGCATTGATCACATGATTTGCCATAAGCACACATGTACATGTACACCTGTCAGGAGTACATCAGCTTTGCATTGGGTGCCATTTGCCCCCTCTGGTGTACAAAATACCATGGACCACATCGCAGCAGGCAACAATTGTGTATTTAGGCCCTATGCATGGTGTATTATTGCCAAGGATCAAAACAGAAACTTGTCTTACCACTGCATCCCATGCCAAAGATACATGGACCTGCACCCACATGTCTCACAGATCAGTCCCACCAAAGGACTAGTCAACTGCTATGTAATAACATACTATCTCTTGTTACCTCTTGACTGAATGACAACAACGGAACATCGTACATGTATCAGATACTTTCAAACAGTGTTAATACTTATCTTCTCTACTTCTCAACCACATACCATTAATAATGCAGTTACGGGGGCATGCTCAGTGCGTACATGCGGTTCAAATACCCCAATGTGGTGGATGGGGCAATAGCATCTAGTGCACCCATATACTCTGTGGCAGGGCAAGGATCTCAGACGTACTTCTTTGCTGATGTGACAAAGGTGAGAATTATGCCTATCAGTGCTATCACACAAGTAGAGGGTGTCTTTTGAGGGCTGGTTCAGAGACGATGTTTGGCTTGGGGCTTATTTCTGCCCTCTAGGGCTGAAATTATGGCAGTTACCCGTAATAGGGGTATTTTGGTGTCTTTTCCCACGTTTTTATGTTTTGCATGTTTTAACAAAAGGAATCTTTGCATTCTCTGATGTCAAGCACCAGGCACTATTTAAGCCATTTCATCTTTATGGTCAACCTGCTACAGTATGGTTCCACAGTTTCATCTTCTGGCCCCTGTTTATGAGCCGTACCCCATCAGCACAGTTGCATTCGGGCACCTTGCATATAAAATTGGCAGTCATTCATCTCACAAGTGGGCAGTATATATATTGTTTCATGTATAAAGTTCTTTAATACAGTGTTGTGGCTACATCTGAAGCATCCATCGCAAGGCTACAGCCACAGTTTGTGCCATTAGTAAGCCACATAGAATAGCCTCAGTCATAGACAACATTGCCTGTTTCGTACTCTGTCTATCCTACAGTAGTTCTGTTCTGATACACGCACACTTTTTTACCCGAGTCTTCAAATTCAATATCACTGTGTTTGAGCCCCTGAACTGTGAAAAGGTCACCCTTGTTAAACTTTTCTCAATCAGGCATTTGAAAGTGTACCTTCCATTGGCCCTGACTGCGTGACAACTGTGAAAAATGCATTCATTCAAATGAACAAGCTTGCTGACGACGGAAAAGAAGGTGTGTCCTACCTGGTTGGTGTTCATTTGTGATTTCTTTATGGTTTGTGGAAACAAAAATTGCCAGTTGTTTCATTCTTTTGAGTCCCATCCAGGACCATCCATACGTTAGGTTTTCTCAGCCCCTGATTGATTCACTCAGTTGAAAATGAAAATTATTTTTATCTTATCTTTGTGCTGGGGCATGTTTCTCGGGATTACAATTCATTTTGAATTGTTGTTTTTTGTATTAAAACAAGATAAATGCAACATAAAGAGGACTTCTGCATGAGGGAGATCTCTATTTTACACCCCAAGGCATAATAAGTCTGGATTTTGACAAATGTGACAAATCTGTAAATGCTCTTGGTTTTCAAATTATTTTCAGGTCTGAGCAACATTTCATCAACATTTAAGCTATGCAAATCCCTGACTAGCAAGAGCCAGATAGCACACCTGCAAGGCTGGGTCCGCAACGCCTTCACCAGCATGGCCATGTCCAACTACCCCTATGCCACGAGCTTCCTGGGCCAACTACCTGCTTGGCCAGTTAACGTGAGTCACATCAGATGTTGTACTAAGGAGAGGCCAAAGTGTTCACGTATTAAGGGTTCCCCCTCCAGAAAATTAGGCCCTCGAATCCTCCCAGTAAAACCTTTATAAAATGTTACTAGTAGTAATACAAGATCTGCCAAATTAAATTTGAAATCATTGGTGTGGCTACTTATAATTTAGCCAGAAAAGGGGGTAAGAAAAAATGCAGGGAGGCCAACATAAAAAAACTCTGCAGATTTGCTGTTGTAATTATAAACATAGTTTCTAGTGAGTTTTAGTAGTTGCCATTAGTAACCTTCAAACCTTCAGCCTTGATTTCTTTTTAGGTCTCTTGTGGTCTTATTGTGAAAGCACAATCCTCAAATCCTATGCAAGGGCTGGCTGAAGCAGCAAGTGAGTATTTTCACTGAGAATTCTTGAGAAAAATTAGAAAAATGTGGACAAATTATTCGAATGTTTCGGTACTCATGCGGTTGAGAAATACTCAAATATTAACTTTTTATCAAATATTCAGATATGAAAATTAGTGAAAACTTCAATTATTGGGTCACAGAATTGTCTGCTAAAGCATATTTCAAGGTGTTACCAGTAAAATTAAGGGCTGTTGAATGCGTACATGCCAGACAATAAAACCAAAAATTACTCCTTTTTTTACACTTTATGCAAAGATTTAGGTTTTGTTTGTGCTTTGGGAGAATATAACTAAATACAACTAAACATTCGATCAAATGGAAATTCAAATATGCAGATATTCAGCTACTCAGCCTTAAGAAATACAGCATACATGTATATAGAAATCTGGGCAAAACAAAATTGCCATCATCAGACCCGTCAATGCTTTTTATGGGCTAAATTTCCCGGATCATTTCAGGAAACAGGGGTTATTTGGACAAACATGTTCCACTGGTTTAACAGGCTGGTTTATCAACGTGACAGATTTTTAATCACGTCTGTTGATGTTTTGATCTTTGGCAGTTTTATTCTACAATGGCACTGATGGCAAGCTGAAGTGTATGGACCCTGACTTGGAGTATATTGAATGTGCTGACCCAACTGGCTGCGGCCTTGGGAACAATGCAAAAGCATGGGATTGGCAGGTGAGAAGCAGATTTTGAGGTTGCATCACTGGGTCTTGTACTGTCTTCCCTTTTTAGCCCAAGTTACTTACTGTTCAATAGAATGACGACAAGGTATTCATTTCTATTCGCCGTCATCCCCTATTATTTTTGAACTGACATGTAATTAATTGACTTTAGATTGACTTGTTTTTGCACTGTAACTGACTAGATGGAAACTCAGGTTCATAGTTACGTGGTATCTGGCTTGGAGGTTTCCAAGCAAGTTCTTTTGTTGAGCGAAAGCGTGTTGCATGTGAGGGGTCTTTCATATTGGTTCAACTTTACAAGAATGTAGAGTGTCCTGCTGAGAATACCAAGATTTTCTGAGAAAGATACAAGATATTGCTGAGCTGCAGGAGACTTTTTCATCAGTTTTCTTTGAATATTACATGTAGTGAGAGGTACACACGTTGATAATATTAAGCATGTTAGGTTGTGTGAGTCACTGTGTATGATGTTCCCCACTGCTGCACATTTGTGCCTGCACAGGACCTAAACATGAAAACCTGCATGTGGTCACACCATGTGAAGAAGAGAATGTCCCAACTTGCCACCAGTGTTGTATTCAAGTCCATTCTCAAGTCCCTTCATAAGTCCAGTCACAAGTCCCTTCACAAGGCCGGTCATAAGTAACATGGTGAACAATGACAAAGGAATGCTTTCGTCACAGTTCACTTTTGCTTGTGAATTCTCTTAAGACTGGATGACTTGTGATGGACTTACAGGGACTTGTGATGGACTCGAATACAACACTGCTTGTCACTGCATAACTTTACACAACTCACAGCCTTAATCCAGGCAAAAAAGAAAGCAGGCGACAGTTGAAAATGTAGTGGCGGTAGATCATGCAGCAGAAACAACACACCTGTCATTCTTCCCAAACCAATTTCTGCAGGCTTGTACTGAGATAACTATGCCAGAGGGCTCCAACAACGTTACCGACATGTTCCCTGCGCTGCCACTCACAGAGCAAATTAGGGAAGCCTACTGCAGCCAGAAGTGGAAGGTTACTCCAAAGCCAACCTGGCTAAATATCATCATGTGGGGGAAAGGTTAGAAATTATGCAAATTTATGGCACCCCCCAAAAATTCTATGATCATTAGGCGATCAGTCTCGTTTTGTAACTTGTAACGTAACTTTTCCTTTTTCCTGAGAAATCAAATAAATAAATAGAAAGATTATTAAGACAAAATTCCTGTGCCACTGACCCAGTTTCAGCCCTGTTGAACATAGGTTGTGTTGATAAATTACATGCAATGAAGTGCACATTACATAAGATTGCCTGAGACTATTAGGCAGTATTGGTGCCGTTGGAAGATGGAGATAATTGGACACAAGGCAGTACTGTTCGATATGAATGGGAAATCACATTTTACCCTGGATGTTGCTGTACATCATCATCCGTAATTGCTGCTTTGCTGGAAGTTGCACACTTTTACTGACAACCATGACTCTGACACCAAAACTCAAAAAGGGTAGGAGAAGGGGGTGTCACATTCCCACTCACCCCTGCCCCCCCCCACCCAGAGATTCCTGTGAGTGTGCTTTTGTTCTCCTTCTTCACAGACATAAAGGCTGCATCCAATATTGTCTTCTGCAATGGGGCGTTGGATCCCTGGCGAGACGGAGGCGTGCTCGTCAACCCAGATCCTGCAGATTTAGATGTGTGCTTGATCTATGAGGGGGCCCATCATCTAGATCTCAGGTAAGGGTTTGAGAAATCGGAATTTTGAATGGGTGAAGCTTTAGCTCTCACTGCCTGTGCATTCATAGGAGACATGCTGTCTCAAGTTGATGAAGCATGTTAGATTGCATTTAAAGACTGACAAAGAGACAGACCAACCAGCAGACATCAGACAGTTGTGAGAGCAGTGAGGGTATTGTTGTGTGGCTTGACCCTCTCAGTGGAAGAGCTTAAGAGGGCAGTGTGAGATGGCTGGTAGGCAAACATGTCCCTCAGGAAAACTGTTTTTAAAAACAAAGGGGGAAGAGTACAAGAAACTAAACTAGGAGGACCGAAGATGAAAATAACCCCCCTTCCACAGACCCTTTTCCATTGGTAACGGTTTGCCAGTTTGCTGTTGATGAATGCTTTGCCCCCCCCCAAAAAAAAAATTAAACGATAAATAAATAGATGAATATATAAAAATAAAAGCCTGGCAACACCCAAAATTACCCCGTAATGTGTGAATATTAGCCAAGCATTGAAACATTTTTGGGGTAAGAGAAATTGGCACATATAATGTTGCAACTGTTGCAAACACTATTTTCTAGATTTAGATTGTCTGATACTTCTGTTTTTCATAATGTGTCGTCTAAATATCGTTTTTCAGGGGAGAGAACGAAGCTGACCCAATCTATGTGAAGAATGCAAGAAAGCTACATAGAAGAAGGATCAGTTGCTGGATAAAGGAATGAAAATCGATGGTGCGATTATTCCTCCTGCCTGCTGTGTTCATTTCAATCTGTTACACAGATGAGCTGAAATTTATTTTATTATGTATCTTTACATTGAGGATAAAGAAATGTGTATGAAAGTTATGCTAAATGGAGGGTTTCACAGTAGAAACCACCCCAATTGGTGGATCAAGTGGGAACGGGCTGCAACACTGATGTAACATCCCAGTTTATGTGTAAGAATCAAATTATAGGGTGTTTATTGTTGGTCTGCTTACAGTTGACAGAGACTTATTTTAATTTACGTTCAGTCAAAACAGATCCATGTCTCAGTGGTACTTTGAACTGCACATCTTCAGGATACTTTGTGGCCAGTTCAAGGAAGCATCGGATTTATATGTAAAATCTTGAGATTAATTCTGTTGAATGGAGGTATTGAAAGGGGTCTTTGGCAGGAATGCCATACAGTATTTAAATTTTACGCAATGAATTATTTTATGAACTGGTTTTGTAATATACTCTCTTCGTGTAGAAGAGTTGAAAAACCACTCAGATACGGCTCTGTAACTTAAGAGAGTTGAGGTTAATTAACCACAAGTGCCTTTTCCTATTTGCCAGAGTAAAACTCCACTCCAAAAGAGTAGAAAAATACTTAAAAAGATGTTTCTCCATTTAAAATGACTTGTAATCCTTAAAATTTCAAAAGTCTATTTATTGCATACACAAGTGTTATCATATTGTTTCACTATCAGTCACATTATCAGTTACATTCCATTGGCAGTTTATGTTGCCGTTCATGCCAGTGTGTATAATTAGTAGACTTTGATTACCGTGTTCACGGAAATATCAGGCCGCAAACACTTGGGTAAGTCCTAAGACTATATGCTCAAACGTCTCATTTAGGCCCAAGTTAAACGCAGATGACAAAATTAGACAACTCCTTTCTGCAAAATATTAAATTAGGAAGCTGGTCACAACTACAGCAAGTTTATGGTTTGTAGTACATGTATTAACAAGTGAAGGCCACATTTGGTTCTCGAATATTGCTATGTTGTTTTGCTTTTTACGAGGTGCTTCTAGGCCTACATATCGCCATATGCACTTACCATGTTCTGGCGATGTAGGCCATGTGTCGAAACTCCACCGAAAATGCGTTTACTTGTATGCCTAGGCCTAATTTACTTGTAACGTTAGGCCTAAAACACTAGAAACTACTTGTTTATCCAATGATTCTATTTGAACTGAAGAAACTGGGAATCACTGTCGGTACTCAACAGCATCAAACTCGAAGCTGGAAGCAGCTAGCTGGCTGTGTATCGTTGCGATAGTTTTGTGATTTATTTACATCAGGTTAGCCCGAGACTAATGAAGGTAGTCAGGTCGGCCATTGTCGTCGATGCGTGCGCATGCAGCTGTGCAAAGCTTTATCATCCAATCCCATTGGTGGAAAACTTTGTCCTGCGCCTCGATCTTCAACCACTTTCAGAGCCTGAAAGTTGACCCCTGATGGCGCGCTTCCGGAACTCTTGGATGGAAAAATAACCTGCAAATATTTTAGAATTTGTAATATTTTTCGTTCGGTACTTCTTTAAAAATCCGACTTGGGAAAACACCGTTGGAAAATATTTGCTGGTATATCAATTTATAGAAACTGAAAAATTACCAGACCTAAAAGAGAAATATCTTGCCGAAAATTGACCCATCGTTTCCGCAAATCTGAAATACATGAAGAACAGTCAAATGCGGCGGTCTCGTATGCAGATGAACATTTACGGTTTAGAATTTTATGGTAGTCGAAAGCCGAAATGAAAACAGATGAAAATATTTCACATACTATTATGATTTATAAGGTAATAAACTTAAAGCAATAACTTACTTTTACGAAAGAATATTTTATTTTACCTTTGCTAACAACAACTGCGTTATGTCAATCAACGGAACACGGAATCCATCGACTACAGGTAGGTAAATCTTCACAACGTTTTACAATCTCGTTTTCACGTAAGCACGTGATGAGGGGAGTGAAAACAAACGTGTGCGTGCATGAACAGGGGACCTGGGTACGATATCGCTGCACCTGAAGGGCTGTTGGTGAAATTCGTTTTTTAACCATCTGCGGGTGATTTTTCCTAAATATTACTTGAGGAAAACAAAATTTGTCTTGTCATATTGGAATTTTACCTTTAAGGTAAGGGGGCAATGGGGAAACAAAGGGCATGTTTCAATCAGTGGTCTGAGCACTGGCTCACTGCATCCATCAGGCGGAGTCGGCACGGAACAGAGGGAACCAAGACACGAAAAAAAGACGCTTAAAAATCGTAGGAATAAAACGAAAGTAATATAATTTGAAACTTTTCACAGCACACAGTGCTTGCGTTCGTCATGATGCACCCATCATAATGCAGTTCGACTGCTACATGTATTTTGGGGTGTACCGACACTGCTGCAAGGTCTCAGAATGTAGACATGTTGCAACAAGTACAACAGGTGGTTTTAAGATGGCCACATTCATCGTCAAGTACTATTAAGTGCCAGAGTTCTGCTGCTAAACTTTAAGCGTCCCTGTTTTTAATCTTGAGTTCATTAGCCATTTTAAAGATTCAAATAAATTTGATTTGATAGGAAAGTCCACTTAGTACCATTAAATAAACGTTTTCGAAAACTGAAGTACACAGTTTTAAAAAATGAAGTATATTTTTTCGTTCTAAAGAAATCTGTTATTAGAATTATTGTTCCTATTTTTGGGAAAAAACCTCGTTTTGCGCGACACTGTTGTGGCTCATATTTAGGAAATGTATTTTTCCGAAGTTTTTTGAGGATATAAAAGTTTGTTTTATAAGATCTATTTTAAGAAACATTCGCTTAAACGAGATACGCTTTGAAAGCCGTTTTTACGATCGAGATAGGTCTAGACAGTTGGCGAAGAGCACGTCTCGGAGCCTACGAGGCAACTGATGTTCAGTGGTGATGAGTCGCCGAACCGGCTGACTGCGTGAAGGAGGTTTTCAGCATATGTTCAACCCCTTCTTGCTGTAGTGGAGTGACCCGAGCTGAGTTGACACGGGTGGTTTTTGGTTTGGTCGTTGACCAGCAATCTTAACCACAGTGTTTACTTCTCTTCATTGTTCGTAGTGGTCAGTTCGAGATATCAGCTGTCTTCAACTTTCTCCACAGCACAGGTAGGGAAACTTATTTTCTCATGTCAATTTGTCAATGAGAAGTTAATTTACTTGCGCACAGACCTCCCACATTATGCTGACATGCACCGGTACCCGGAACTAGTGGTAGCTGCATTACATATAATTTGAAGTTTCTTCGTATACGGTTAAGTAGCGATGATCTCAATTGATACTTTCTGCCATGTAGGCCTGTCTGCCATCCCATTAGGAAGGTATTCAGTGAGTTTTCTTTCTTGGAGTGGTATACTTGAACCTAAAGAGAAAAGTGTTTTGAGGTGTTCTTCGGAAAAAGATATTTTCGGTGAGACCAGACGATTTTTTTTTTCATGTCATGGCATCGTTCTTAATTTCCCAAATGCTTTAGTTAAATGCCATGTAGTGAATGGCCCCAAACCAGGCATGATATAACATAGGCTTGTCTTCAGTTGTGATCTGAATAGCGCTAGCCTTGGGGTTGTTATTCCGACATTCAAAGGTAAATAATAACGTTTAAAAGAAAAAATTCTGAAGGTCCCCAGAGCCGGAAACACATTGTTTGAAAATGGAATCTCTGCACTCATCTTTGATAACCGTATTACACTGGCCGTTATGCACTCTATTGAAATTGTAGAATGCTGCGGTTTGGCCCCGCCTAGTTTATGTAAGACGAGTGTGAAATGTTGACTGGGAAAAAAAAGCGGGGGGTGGTGGTTTGTTTGGGTTTTTTTATACGGTACCCTTGAAATGAAAGCATACGCGTGGGAGAGGGGAGATGTGAGAAACAAATTTTTATGGTCAGTAACCTTTGTTTAATACCGGTATATTTAAGCATGTACTTACAAGCTTCAAGTGGAAAACATCTGGTCATATGTGCGTATAATGGCAGTTTGATAACACACTGAATGACCCAAAATTAGGTATTCATAGAAACAAATGAGTCTTGTATTCTTTGTACGGGAAAAATATTTCAGTATTTCAGTAGTTGAAGTTAAGTTTACAGCATTTTGTTTGTTTTTTGTTTTTGTTTTTTCCTTTTTTTGCACGAATGAGGGTGCATACAGAACCATTCTTTAAGGGGAAATTTTTTGGGTGGGGAGATTAGTTGGGAATTTTTGACATAGGCCTCACCAGCTTTCAGGGGCCTGGGTGAGGCTTCATATTACAAGCTTATGGGGAGACGATTCAAGAAAATGACATGGACCAAACAATTGACTTTGATTGTATTTCAAAATCATTGTTTTGCTTCTGTTTTGTGGGGGCATGCATGACCTTTGATGCCCTGGATCTGCAAGTGCTTAGGCCTATGAAACAATTATATGGGAGCGACTGCGCCCACAGGACGCGTGACGTCGAAAGATCGATCATAACCATCATGGGGTAGCCATCTTGTTTTTCCATCATTCAAAGCAATGTAACCAAATTGAGGGCGGAAAGACAAAGAGTGTAGTCCCTTTTGTCAGTATGTGAAGATGTGTTACTATTACCAATGCGCCCACAAGGAGCACAGGTCTCTAGTCGATTGGAACGACGACTCCTGAACGAAGCTGATTTGAGGGTCTCTCTTTCATAAGAAAGCTTTTTGTAAATGTACATGCGTATAGTAATTAGGAAAGTTGATCATCAGCATTCCACAATCCCCCACCACCTTGCTGTTTTGAATGCCGTAGCAAAACTACATGAACATGTAGTCTGTAAATGATATGGCTAATGTAATCCCGGAGCAACACAAACCATTCCTTTACGGCGTAATAATACGAGTTCCATGGAAATTCTGTCACACAAACAGAAATTGGCTCGATTAAAATCGAGTCACGTTAATTGGAACGACATCATAAAATATAAACTTTATCAATTCAGTGTTTTACTGCTTATTCTCGTCTTGTCATTAATAATAGGCCTACACTGTTTCATCAATGTGGCCTCGGTCTGCTTGTTGGGTTTTTATGCGTATTTCATATCTGTATGTTTACAAAATAATTGTAAGACAAGTATTTTTTCATTATGGTCTTACCAACACCATGAACTGACACCCAGTTCGTGAAAACGGCGCAGTCAACAAATTTTTATTTACAGTTTGTTTCATAGTGGAAGTAAGATCGATACCAGTTTGTAAAAACTAAAACGCACGGAGTGCGCTGGAAGTGCCGCACTGTAGGCCCCTACCAGATGGTCAGTTCGTGAAAACGGAAATCGCTCAATTCAGTAAAACGCGCACAAAATGAGATCACCTCGTGTACGACTGAGTATATGTCAGTTTGTAATGTCAGTGACGATTTGATGTCCATAAGTCCACAAAAATTAATCAGTGCATTTTGTTGTAACAAGTCAGTCGGACTGGGGAAAATCCAATTCAGAGTTACAATGAACTTCACTCTCTTGAAGAGTTCACGGGTACCCTGCTAAGTCACAACTTAGTCCCTCCCTAAGTGGCTATTCAGTATCAACAAACACCGTGTCCACCAAAAGCGAAGTTTTTCATAAGTATCATGTACCAAAATAAGGTCGACGGTAGGATACCGTACTCAGACTACTGATGTTCTGGGACTATATATCAAAACAACTCTGAAAACACACTTTTCCATGAGAGGAATACCTACTACAGGTCACGTGATAGCGTGCGCAAATGGTCCATTGTTTCCTGAGCTTACATCATGTACTCACACAAGCTCACTCATACAAGCTTTGAATGAAAGAAACCTTTCTCATTATTAACCACTATTCGTGTGGACGGCCCAAGTTTGCGGAAGGAAAAGAATACAAATCCTCTTAAGACTCGTACACGAGCGAATGTTATGAAACAAAACTAACGTGGCAAATCATCTGAGAGTGGTCACCGTTCGTCCGTAGGTGAGAAGTGCTCATTTGTGCGGATTTTAGAGAACCGAATTACTTTCGTTTTCACCAATTGATACCGATCTTAATGCACCAGGTAAAACGAATTTTAAGTACTTTAACCCTAACCCTCCTCAATCCTCCAACAGGTGAAGGATTGAGGAGGGTTAGGGTTAATATTTGGGTAAAGCAGCATAGAGTGATGGATCAAGTTCGTGTCAAACCTTTCAAAGCATTTTTCTCCGCGCTGAATAACCGTATTACAGGCTTGGTATCAGTGCGCATGCACAACCGGGTGCTGGTTCGAGTGTTAATAGCGCAGTTTTCACGAGCTAACACGTACTTGCAACCGAGTGTCAGTTCGTGGTGTCGATGACGATAAAATAGGCCTGTTTTCACAGATGCGTTGGGAAGGAGGAAAGGTAGGCTACAAGGGGAAATGGGGGGTCTGCCTCCCCTCAAATTCATTTCCCCAGATTCGTTGATAAAGGTCCGTGAAGAAACAATGTCAACTTTTAAAAAAATTTTAAATTCAACTGAGAAGTTTGTTTACTTTTCGGCTAACATATAGGTCTGAAGTCACACGAGAGACAGAGAGCTGGAGGCAGAAATGTCCAGTCCACAAGTTGAGTTCGTCTCGAAGGGGACTTACCACGGCAAGCACGGGGTCCGGGTCATGCAGCACCGCCGGCAGGGTGACATCCACAGCATTAAGGAGTTCACGGTGAAGACCAAACTGGGACTGGCCACCCGCAAGGAGTACACGAACAGCGATAACTCGGACGTCATTCCTACCGATTCCCAGAAGAATACAGTTTATGCACTCGCCAAATCCAAAGGGGTAAGGAAATTAAGCCACGTTCGTTTCTGATGTTTTTGTAAATAAAATATTGCTGTTCTTCACACTATAGTATCTCAGACACAGTGAAACAGTTCAAGTTCATTGTCCATCAAAAGGTATCAACTTCTCCACGATGAATTTTTAAGGGATGACTGAAAACGCGGTAAAATTAGGTGTAACGGGCACTGTAATGTGAGTGACGACAAATGCCGATTTTTGGAACTTTTTTAGATTACGACGCCAGAACAGTTCGCCCTTGACCTTTGTCAGCACTTCAAGGGAAAGTACGACCAAGTCCAGTGGGCTGAGGTTACCGTAGAGGAGGCCCCCTGGCGGCGTCTGAACCAGTCCGGCAAAGAGCATGCGCATGCCTTTATTCAAACGCTTGAGGCCAAGAGGTACTGTGTGGTGCAGCAGGAGAGAAAAGGTGAACATCTTCACTGGCTTCTGCCCAAGCCGTTGTTGTTGTTGGGAAGAGTTTGTTATTTGCACGCCCCTCACTACGATGCAGCGTGTTTGTTACTTAGTCAACGCTCTTCTAGCTGTATTGCCGCGCGTTTGAATCACTTGGATTCGGTTGGAAATAAAGTATTCGCTTATGGAAGCCTGCAAATTAGCAGCTGCGTGCATTTCCTGAGGACCTATGCCAATGTATTGTAATTAAGACACGGCGTTTGAACCAGCACCGACCAAATATAAGGTTGCACGCTGCATGCAGAGGTCGTTTCTATTTACGTCCTGTGAAGTCTTTGATGGGCATGGACCTTGTTGGTGATTTGGCCCATGTACGGCGGATTCCAGCCCGCAAACTGGCGTGTCTCATCAGACGAGATACCGCACAGCTACTTTATACTCTTTCACACACAAGACTAATCCGGGTACTTTTGCGGGCAGCGATGGTTAATGCGGATGTTTTATCACGCTGTCTTTGCCTGAAATTACAGCATTCTAGCTATACTTCCCGAGTAGCTGATAATATGGTCAGGGAATTTTCACGGTTTCGATGAACAAGGGCCCGTGTTTTGCGCTAGAGGTGGTATAGAGGTAGGCTACGTATCCTCCACACTGTTTGACCCAAGTGTGACTTGTACTGAATTTGTGTACAGTTCGTCTCTTTAATAACCATTGGCGCCCTCTCTGCTATTCGGCAGAACATAATCGCCCACGAGGTATAACAGAGGCTAAACAAGGCTTGGATCAAGACTAGGGTGATAATGATATTGCTGGATATTCTATACGCATTTCACAGGATACAATCTGTTGCATCAAACACATTGCGCTGCGAGAATGTAGGCCCTTTCCAATATTCGACTTGGGCTCCGTCTCAGGCTTCGTTCCCAAAACCAATCCCCGATTGTGGGCCTGAAGCGTTTAAATTAAATTGGATTACTGTAATTTCTGAATCTCTTGCATCTTATTTGATGTTTTGTGGCACTATTAGACTAATTACTGCGCTTACAGCTTCAAAGTCAGCTAGTTAAAAAAACAGTTGAAGCCTGAGACGGAGCCGAAGTTGAGTATTGGAAAACGGCCCAAGACTTTACTGGTGGGTTGTGTAAGGAAGTGCTTATAATGCTTTTATATACACCCATCACTATTTCCTTTGAACCGGAAGCTCCCTCACACTGCTATTTTTTCCTCCTAAATTGCTTTTATGTAGGCCCCCCCGTAGTTTGGGGAGGGCTGAGTGATCTGAAGATCTTAAAGACAACGCAGTCGGGTTTTGCCGGCTACGTCCATGACGAGTACACGAGCCTCCCAGAAACGGACGACCGCATCGTGTGCTCCAGCGTGGACGGCAAATGGCGTTACTCGGACATCGAGGGCATGGATTTTGATGAAACTTGGTATGAACAAAGAGCTAGACACCAGAAAGTGAAGTAGAATTCTCTGTGGTGATCGACAATTTAACCTCTTTGTGCTGGGGTATAAAGCCAAGGAGGAAATCGAGACTGCCGAATCTGTAATGTCGCCGTTGAACTCCCAGAGGTCGCTGGTTCAATCAAATTTTTTTTCTATGCACACGGTCATCAGAGCCCAATATAAGAAGTGGAGATGATTTGGTAACTACATATGTCAGAGGAAGGGTGATCTGTGTTCAGTGTGTGTCACACAATTACGCCGACAATATCTGAATTACCCTCACTGTTGAGATAATCCTGCAGTTGGTCCTTAAAAGGTATTGGCACCTTTGTCAAATGGCACTTTGAGGTTTGGGAGAACGGATGAGATTATATTGCCTCTGGTTCTGAAGGGGCAAAATTATACCAAAGGGTTTGCGATAAAAACAACATTTATTGACCTAATAGATGAGAGTCTATTCAAATAGCAGAGTCCAATTCAAATTCATTGTTTGATTCCCCTAGGCCTACTTGTTATATAAAATCTCGTAGTCTCATGCTTACATGTGTTCGCTCACACGCACAGGGAAATGTGTAAAACCGCTATTCTGGACGAGTTCGCAGGACCTCCAAACTCTGGGACATTCTCCTTCTCTATCCAAGAGATTCTCTTCCAATGCACCCAGAGGATGATGAACAAAGTAGCCGAGGTAAGATGCTTAGGAACGTGATAAGGAGAACAGAAAGTGCGTTCACCCGTAAGCGCTTCCTGGCCTTACGTACGCCTTGATGAATAGAGTTTATGAAGACATTTTTGCGGCAGGTCGGAGCATGGAAAAGGGAGCAAATACTATTAGCTATAAGATTGTGGGAAACTAAGAGGCTCGCAGTTAGTGGACCTCTTCAATATGAGAAGCGCCTGAAAGTTCTGACCAACAACTCAGTATTGCTCGAAAATACACTCTGCAACTTGATATTATTTTTATTTTGCTACTTTTTTTAACTTTTAGGTTGACCAGATTGAGCTGGACATGCCGAACATCCACTATGTCTTCGCTGACCTCGAGAAAATTGGCCTGGAGAACGACGGAGAGGTGAGAACTTTGATCGACTTGTTCCCAAACTCCTCTCCATTATCTAGTGTAAAGAGAGATCTGACCAATTGTCATTTTTTGGATATTTTCAGATCATTATGCCGACATCTGACCCGCACGGGATCATCCGTGTCGCCGTTTCCCGCACGCACTCATCACTGAATTCTGTGTAGGGAGAACATCTTCGAAATGCGGAGGTCACAAACTCAGGGAGTAGTGTAACTTGTTAAAAATACGATTTACTTGATAGTAACAACCCACTTGGGAAAAGCACAGGACTTGCTTGTTATAAGGGGAGAAGGAGCTTTTATGCGACAAATTGTAGACGTCGTGATTTTAAACAGAATGTTCTGCGCGCCTCGGAGACCTCTAGCATTGGACTCCGAGGCCGTAAATATTACAAGCACACTTTATGTCTCGTAGCCGTTATGTTGCGTCTGAATAACATACTTTTGCAACGACTGAGACAGACACCTGCATTGGTCTGTTACGTACGGAAGCCCTGGAGTGCCGTCCAGTATATATTTTCACAGAATTAAGAACCTGTATATTATTTCAAAGTTCGGATTATGAAGTAAATTTTTCCACATTCGTTTTTACGAGATATTCATTCCCAAGTACGTTTGTTCGACACATTCTTCAGTTAGTTGTAATTAGATCTATAGTTGGAAACATTGTTTCTATTTTTGGAAACAAACCTTTTTACGAGATATATATTTTTATATTTTTATTTTTTGGATGAGAAATATTTTTGCCAAGTCAATTTTTTAGGAAATATACATTGTCAGGTTTGATTTATTTCTCACAGAAACAAGCTTCAAGAATATACAACTCATAAAACCGAATTTTAAAAAGCTCCTAAAATTGAACTTGGAAAAATATCTCTCGTACAAACGATTTGTTTCCAAAACAGAAACAACCTATTTAGAGATATTACGGGAACGAATTGGATAATATGTATCTCAAACAAACAAAACTGGAAAAAATATACATGTACTTCATAAAAACGAACTTGAAAAAAAAATCACTTTTTGAAAACGTATACTTGGCAGCACTCCAGGGCTTTCGTAATTACGAAGCAGTGACCCTCCATATGCAACTGACAGACTCGTGTCAACTGACAAGACTCAACTTGTGTTCCAGATATTGCAGCTAACTCAGAAGTTGAAAACAAGCTCCTTCAAAGTCACGTACAAAAAGCCATGATAATCTACTTGCTCGACATAATCACAAAACTTAATTTGGTGGTGTCCTTGGGATTAAGTCTTTTTACCATTTCTGTTTCTAAAGTTGTGTCTCAGCTGAAGTAGTTACGTATTTCTTTGTACTGTTATGGAGCTTATACAATTTTAATTGATTAGTTCGTATCAAATCGGTTATCTGTCAGATCTTCTGAACACTGTAATAATAATCATAATTTCTACAAGACAGAGTACCTACATACGGCTGTTGTGTGTTCCACTTTCATGTATAATGGCTCTTGGTCTGAATCAAAACAATAATCCTTGGGAATCATAATCCTACAAGGGTCGATTCAAAGGACTCAGTCGCAAAGCACGTCGTTCTCGAGGGAAGTGAAAACACTCCAAAGCACTTGCACAGAACAGGGACTTTTATTTATTGGGGGGGGGTTTGAGAACTAAATCAGTGCAAAGCCAAACACACAAATTTATCTTAATAAAATAATTTATTACCTATTTACAGTCCCGAGGATCACCCTCTCGTAGTTTTGTACAGTTCCTCAAATGAGGATATTCATTTT